ACGTTACCAGCTCTGTACCAGGGCTGCAAACAATTAAGTACCACAGTGGTAGCCTCCTTAGTTGAATGGCTTTAGGCACAAGATTCAGTCTTAGAGATCAGGTTGCAACAGAGGAAACAGGTTCAGATAATATTGATTATATACTATCTTTATTCAGTGCACAAGCATGCATATAACATGAGACTAGCAAAAGATAAGAAACAACAGATATCTATCGCTTGCTCAGCTCTAGCTACACAATAGAGGTATGTCATAGTTACCAGGCTTTTAGAGGTATCAGATGAAACAGTCCAAGGTCTCACCGGGGGATCTTGAAGAGGAACCCCATGGTTTTGTTTGGGCAGCTAGTCCAGCTTGGCTGCCGAACACTCTCATTCCATGTTAACAACAGTCAATCCAAAAGAACTCTTTGTTTCCCAGAGAGAAAACTCACTTAACTCTCCTCTTCCCTCATATGGATCATTACTGATATACCTCCCCCTCCGTCACCACCAGGTATGACCATTTACCCAATAGTGAGAGAGTGGGAAGGCGTTCCAATCTCTGGTTACCATACGTTGTCAGGCAAGGTATGTTTTGATTGGCTCGGAGTTGGGCATCCCACTCCAGCCTCTTCTATTGACCATGTGTCATGTCAGGGAATGCTTTTGATGTGCTAATGTACTGGGCATAACTTGGCTTGGGAAGGAGCTGGCAAGTTGCTTTCTCTTGGCAGAGGTGTCAAAGTGTCTTGTATATGGAGATGCGGCCTGGCCATCTGGCAAGCCATTTGCACAGGTGACAGGAATAGCATGGTAGTGTTACCAGCAAGGGCCATCTGGCCAAAGCAAGGGGGATTTTAGAAAAGCCTTTTTCTATACATATATGTCCCCTCGAACGAGAGAGTCCTCTGAAGATGGGGGTGTATGAAGTGTGGGGATCCCAACTTTATTTTGGCTGCAGAGGGCACTTCCTTATTCAAGTCTCCTTTGAAGTACAGGCCTTCTGGAGGCCCCCAAATACAAGGGTGTGGTGCCAGAACCGGTGTTTGGACTGGGAAGTACTGGTTGTCTCCTTGCAGGGGACAGTCCCCAGAATCTGGCACAAGAGCCGGGCCTTGGATCAGGAAGTGTCATATGTCCCCTCAAAGGGGAGAGTCTGCTGAAGATGGGGATGCATGAAGTGCGGGGGTCCCAACCTTATCTTGGCTGCAGAGGGCACTTTCTTATTCAAATTGCCTTTAAAAAAGAGGCCTTCTGGAGGTCCCCCAAATAGAAGGGTGTGGGGCCAGAACCAGTTTTTGGAATGGGCAGTGCCATATGTCTCCTTGCAGAGGACAGTCCCCGGAGTGTAGGGATGTGGCATTTGGGGTGGTCCAACTATTTTGGGGTGTTGCAGCCTGGCCCTAGTATCTGCTTGATTGTTCTGGGGCCCTGCACTTTGAAGCAGCTGGTACGAGAACTGTGCTTTGGAACCGGAAACTGGATATATCTTCTTGAAGGGGAGAGTTCCCTGAACGTGGGGGTATATGATATGTGGTGTTCCAGACCTTATTTTGGGGTTCAGAGCTTTCCAACTCTCCTCAGTGTTTCTGGATGATTTCACAAATAAGTCACAAATAAGGAACTGCAAATAAGGAACCAACTTCAACCTCCTGTGCAGTGGCCACTGAACAGAAAGAAACTGTAAAACCACAAAGATTATATATCTGAAACAGAAAGAAAACTATTTCTATAACGCTTGAAAGTATTTCTGTAACACCAGAAACATGTTTTAGCCTACAGTTGTACAACCAAAAGAAACACAATCATATTTACATGTTTATGATTCTTTGTGATGGATTTTTTAGATGAATTTTGAACTGGTGCCAAATTCATGGCTGTCACTTAGAGAACTCAATGACTATAAACTTCAAAACCTGTTTTTCATAGGATATGTTAAGGAGCAGGAAAAGCTCTCCGCAGCCTATTTGAACAGACACCTACAAAAGATCCTGAATGACATTTTAGTAAAAAGGAACAGACATTAAAGTAAATGACCAACCCACAGGATGATCAAATCCACCAAACATGCTTAATTATCTTCACGTGTGTCAGTCTGGCTAGTTCTAACTAGAGGTGGCATGATATTTTCTCTATTTTGCTGCCTGCCTCTTCCCAAAATTAACTAGAATAAGTACACTCTGCAGTTCACAATGGGATAACCTCAGCAGGTAAGCAAACTGGGTTGGGATGGATTACAGGAGTATTGACTTTAAACTGTTTGTGCAAGCCAAGCTTTAGTAAGCCTGTTCTGTATTAGCCAGGGCTCTAGTCGGGGGGGAGCTCTCAGGTACGGAGCTCCGGAAGAGAACCTCTAGGGGGCGGGGCGATCACGTGGTGAAGCCCCACCCCCTTCTTTACCCCACCGTCTGCTTCGATCCTCATTCCGTTTGGGAATGAGGATGAAGCAGGAGGGTAAGTAGCCGGGCCTTCTGACACACTTCCGGTGATGTCAGGGGGTGTGGCCTTCTGTCACTTCCGGTGATGTCAGGGGGCGTGGCATATGCAAATAAGTTATGCTAATGAGTTATGCTAATGAGCTCCGGCAGCTCTTTTTCTACAACAAGACCCCTGGTATTAGCCTAGAAAAGATGTAAGCACCACTGATAAAGAAGAGGCTACATTTTAAGAGTAGCGGCTATTTCTTAGCTTTATGGTCACTAACTGCTTGGGAGAGAGGAGTTTTTCAAGACTCAAAAGAATTAAAAATGAATTAAGGGCCGCGATGATTCAAAAGAGGTTGTGGCATGGAGCATTCTGTACATTGAAAGTTACGAACTTAGACAAACAAATTTTGATGAAGTTTTGGATGATTTTGCTATGAGGAAGGCTAGAAAAAAACATTTTTAGTCTTACCGTATTTGATGGCTGTCGTTTACTTCTTAATATGTATTTTAAAACTGACTGTTTAATGACAACATAAAGTAGATTCTAAAAGTACCACACTGTCAGATAATCATGATCATATTATTTACACTTCCCAGGCAATATAATTTGTAAACTCAAGGGTTTTTTTTAAAGAATAACGTTACAACTTCATTTTCCTAAAAATGTATGCTTATTCCACAAAGGTTTACAAAGTTTAGTTACTGCAAAAGTTTTTCAGTATTAATTTCAACATTTATGCATTTTTCCCAATCACTATGGTATTTAACAATAACATCTTATGTCCTTTAGAAAAAAAATTGTGAATTGCAGAATTTTAAATACCCATCATCATCCTTGGCTTCACCCAGTTTTGTTTATAACACTCTTCCATTTTCTTCTAGTCATGTGGGTCTTCATGGATGTGCTTGCTGGCCAAGCCATCTGCTCTTCACCACGGACTCTCCTCTTTGGAAGGCAGCTATTACCCCATCAACGCTTCACCCTCTTTTATCTCTGATCTCTTAAGATCACCTCAAAGCTTTCTTTCTTCGCTCTTGTGTGTGTGTGTGATTTTTAAAAAATTTAATTAGACTGAATGTATTAGGGTATTTTCTTAATAAATCTCATAAAAGATATTTCCTGACTGTTGTCTGCGCAGCTCTGAGTGGGTCCTGACTGGTATAGCTGGAGGTCGGTCCCTAGCTTGCGCACTCAGGGTCTCTCAGCTAAACTTCCCCATAACAAATCCAGAGACCTGGTGTTGTGGCTAATGCAGGATAATCCAATTTATTTATTTATTTATTTCTCAAATTTTTACCCCACCCTCCCAGCCAAGGCCGGCTCAGGGCGGCTTACACAAAATCAGCATATATTTGCAATAAAACAATTAAAACATTTAAAACAATACTAAACCTAGTTAACAATAACACAGTAGGTGCTAGTATTGTTGTTGCTGGATCAACGACGGCTACCATATTAGCTCTTTCTTCCCATAACCGGCTCCTAGAGCTACTTCAGGTGTCTTCCAGGCGGTTGGCACAAGCTGATGTTATAAAGTCCAGAGACAGCAGGGCTTCCTATCCCTCAACCACTAGTTGTTAATGAAGTTGAATGGTGGTGGTGATGTAAAATATTACTGTAGCACAACAACAGCAAAGTCCTCAATGATATGCAGAGGGGGCCTCAGTCAAGTTATTAGACAGTAATAAAGCTGGTCAGTGTTAAAGGGCAAGTAGACTTAATGGATGAACCTAGTCCTTCTGATTGAAAAGAAAGCAGGGGTGGGAGTGCTGAATCCCTCCCCCCATACACACACACTGTGCTTTTCCAACTGAAACTATTTCTTTAGGATGCTGTTCTCCCACTGGATTTACTTTTTATAGAAAGCTCCGATGAGAGGACACAAATTCAGGGAGGAAAGCTGAGGCAGATCATCTCTACCCCACAGGTGATTTGGAGACAGACCCTATTCTGCACACAGATTTGCTGGAGTCACATCTAGTTTTTCCCCAATTACACTGAAAAATATAATCAGGTTGCCTTGGACACACTCCCTGGTCCCAGGCACTTTGCTGTGCCTTCATTACCAGCTAGTCCTAATAACATAAGGGACTTCTGTGACAGGGATAATGAATAAAACCTCCTTCCCCCTTATAGTAACGTGCATGGTGTTTTAACCAAGAAACTACTATGCAGTTCTCTCACTTTTGCTACAATTCTCCCAAATGCCATTTTCCTTTAAGGATTTCTTTAGCGTTTCTAGATCTCATGATTGCAAAAGAAGTCTGAAAACAGAAATAGAAATACTTAAGGATTAAGAAAGATAGACACAAAAGATTGCTATGTTCCTTGCTCGTAATCTCCAAGTGCATGCATAAAGAGGTTCTCTCCCATGTAAGGGTAAAGTTTCTGATTAAAAATAACTGAGGGGAAAATGGGCCATAACTGTTAACACAGTTGGTAAATGGTAAAATGATCATTTTTTCACATCTACAAAAGGCAAACTGGTACCCTCAAATTCAGTATGCATTTTGATACAGCTCTCAATGTTGAGCTCATTGGTCCAAATGGAAAGTGCACTTTCATGAAAAAACATAGTCACACAAAGCTTACTGTGGTCTTGATGCTTCTGCTTGGTCTGTCTGGAGTTTCTCCCCTCCTTCCACTTCCATTGTGCAGTAGACAATGCGGTTGGGAGCAAGTGACTTTAAACCTTGAACTTCCATAATAACAATCTAAACAAGAGTGAAAAGGAAAAAGGGTACAGCAAACACGTATCAATACTTTGGGACACAGTATTCTACATACTTGCTGTAGTAATATTAGCACCAAAGTTATCAGAGTACAGGATTTGGCCAGCTCTGTGAATGTGCTGTGTTACTTTTCTCTGTTTTTCTTGACTCATCACTCATCCCATTCCTTGCAATTTAGTAACGGATTCTTCTTGGGCATACATTAAATTTTTTAACCATCTTCAGTTTATAAAAGTCACCCCAAAACCTTTGCTCCCATGTTAACTGAGAACACATGTACAAGCTGCACATACATGTGTACATCGGTTTGTAAGAAAGAGCCAATGCACCTTCATTTTATAACTGAAACTGGTGACCAGTATCTGGATAAAATATGGAGTTTCAATCGATTTCCACTGTGTACACATTGAATGTAACAGAATAACTCAATACATGTGTAAAGAAAAACCAAATATACACTGTACAAGACTACATGTGTGTTCACTGTAACATGTGAATACGTCTAGTATGGTGTAGTGGGTAGACTGTGAGATTAGGACCTTTGAGACCCAGAGTCAAATCCCTACTCTATCATGAAGTTCATTGGATGACATTGGGCACTTTCTCTCAAACCTAATCTACCTCACAGGGTAGTATTAGGTGCAAATATTTAAGGAGGAGACAATGCCACATGGAGCTCCCGGAACGGATTAAAATGTGATATAGTTCAGAGAGAGGCAGACCCTCAGCTAGAAGCAGGCTGCAGGTGCACGTGATCATCCTCCATATTAGGCAACACACATGGAGAAAAATCCAGATCCTCAAGCGATAGTTCCATGCACTGGGATCTGTACTAGAGTGGGTCCTCACATGGCATTATAAATACGTAGAATGAGATGAAAGTGGAATGAAATAAATAAGTCATAAATGATCCACCATTGTTATGCCTGCCTTGGTCACATTCAGGTTTGATCAGCGTAATGCACTGATGTATGGTTGTCCTCAAAGAGTATTTGGAAGCTTAAACTGGCTCAGAATAAGGCAGCCAAGATGGCAGGGATAGACTGTAGCATTCAATAAAATTTCAATAAGGAAGAATCCACATAGGCTGACTGTTTGTATCTAGGCACAATTCAAGATGTTGGCTTGCCTGTAGAACCCGAAATAATCTAAGACAAGGATATGTAAAGGACCTTTCCACATACAAATCTGCACAAGAATCAACACTGAGACCCTTCTCCAACATCCTAGCCTTCAGAGATTTTTTTTGGGGGGGAGTTGCTACTAGAGACAGGGCCTTCTCTATAATGATGCCCCAGCTTTGGAACTCCTATACTGTGATACCTATTGGCTCGTGCCAGGCTAATTCCATTTAATTCATACAAATGTTTAAGAATTAACCTTTGTGGACTCCAACGACTGATAATTTTTGAAAGGTATTTTAATTGCTGATCACTTTTATTATATTTCTATTGATATGTGTTTTTTCCCCCTCATGGATCACTGCCTTGTCGTGGCGAGGGGGCTTACGTGGTTCGATGAGGCTGTGGGCTATGCCGTGGAGGGCCACCCAAGACGGACAGGCCACAGCAGAGAACTCAGACCAAGCGTGATCCCCTGGAGAAGGAAATGGCAACCCACTCCAGTATGTTTGCCAAGAAAACCCAATGGACAGTATCAAAAGGCTAAAAGATATGATGCCGGAAGATGAGCCCCTCAGGTCGGAAGGTGTCCAATATGCTACTGAGGAAGAGCAGAGGGCAAGTACAAGTAACCCCAGGAAGAGTGAAGCGGCTGGGCCAAAGCCGAAAGGACACTCAGTTGTGGATGTGTCTGATGGTGAAAGGAAAGTCTGATGCTGCAAAGAAGAATACTGCATAGAAACCTGGAATGTAAGATCTATAAATCAAGGTAAGCTTGACGTGGTCAAAAATGAGATGGCAAGACTGAACATCGATATCATAGGAATCAGTGAACTAAAGTGGACAGGAGTGGGTGACTAACTCAGAAGACCATTATATCTACTACTGTGGCCAGGAATCTCGTAGAAAAAATGGTGTGGCCTTTATAGTCAACAAGAGAGTGCAAAAGGCAGTACTGGGATACAATCTCAAAAATGACAGAATGATTTCTGTCCGATTCCAAGGCAAACCATTCAACATCACAGTAATCCAAGTCTATGCCCCAACCACTGATGCAGAAGAGGCTGAAGTGGACCGGTTCTATGAAGACCTACAACACCTCCTAGAACTAACACCAAAAAATGATGTCCTCATCATCATAGGGGACTGGAATGCTAAAGTAGGAAGTCAAAAGGTAACTGGAATAACAGACAAGTTTGGCCTTGGAAAGCAAAATGAAGCAGGGCAAAGGTTAACAGAGTTTTGTCAAGAGAACACACTGGTCATAGCGAACACCCTTTTCCAACAACCTAAGAGGCGACTCTACACATGGACATCACCAGATGGGCAACACCGAAATCAGATTGACTATATAATTTGCAGTCAAAGATGGAGAAGCTCTATCCAGTCAGTAAAAACAAGACCTGGAGCTGACTGTGGTTCAGATCATGAGCTACTCATTGCAAAATTCAGACTTAAACTGAAGAAAATCGGGAAAACCACGAGGCCATTCAGGTTTGACCTAGATCGCATCCCTGATGAATATACAGTAGAGGTGAAGAATAGATTCAAGGGTCTGGATTTGATAGATAGAGTGCCTGAAGAACTATGGACAGAGGTTCGTGACATCGTACAGGAGGCAGCAATCACCACCATACCAAAGAAAAAGAAATGCAAGAAAGCAAAATGGCTTTCTGATGAGGCTTTACAAATAGCAGAGGAAAGAAGGAAAGCGAAAGGCAAAGGCGAAAAGGAAAGATTTACCCAACTGAACGCAGATTTCCAGAGAACAGCAAGGAGAGATAAGGAGGCCTTCCTGAATGAACAGTGCAAAGTAATAGAAGAAAACAATAGAATGGGAAGGACTAGAGATCTCTTCAAGAAAATTGGAGAAATCAAGGGAGCGTTCCATGCAAAGCTGGCCATGATAAAGGACAAAAACGGTAGGGACCTAACAGAAGCAGAAGAGATTAGGAAAAGATGGCAAGAATACACAGAAGAACTATACAAGAAAGACCTCAATGTCCTTGACAAACACGACGGTATAATCACTGACCTTGAGCCAGACATCCTGGAATGTGAAGTTAAATGGGCCTTAGAAAGCATTACTAACAACAAAGCTAGTGGAGGTGATGGTATTCCAGCTGAGCTATTCAAAGTCTTAGAAGATGATGCTGTTAAAGTTCTGCACTCCATTTGCCAGCAAATTTGGAAAACGCAACAGTGGCCACAGGATTGGAAAAGATCAGTATACATTCCAATCCCAAAGAAGGGCAATGCCAAGGAATGTTCAAACTATCGCACAATTGCACTCATATCACACGCTAGCAAGGTCATGCTCAAGATCCTACAAGCTAGGCTTCAACAGTACGTGGATAGAGAACTACCAGAAGTACAAGCTGGGTTTCGAAGAGGTAGAGGAACTAGAGATCAAATTGCCAACATTCGCTGGATTATGGAGAAAGCAAGAGAGTACCAGAAAAATATCTACTTCTGCTTCATTGACTATGCTAAAGCTTTTGACTGTGTGGATCACAACAAACTATGGCAGGTCCTTAAAGAGATGGGAGTACCAGACCACCTCACATGTCTCTTGAGAAACCTGTATAAGGGCCAAGAAGCGACAGTTAGAACCGGATACGGAACAACTGATTGGTTCAGCATAGGAAAAGGAGTACGACAAGGATGTATATTGTCACCTTGCTTATTTAATATATATGCAGAGTACATCATGCGAAATGCTGGCCTGGATGAATCACAAGCGGGAATTAAGATTGCTGGGGAAAAGATCAACAACCTCAGATATGCAGATGATACCACTCTAATGGCTGAAAGTGAAGAGGATCTAAAGAGCCTCTTGCTCAGAGTAAAAGAGGAGAGCGCAAAAGTGGGCTTGAAGCTCAACATTTAAAAAACTAAGATCATGGCATCCGGCCCCATCACTCCTTGGCAAATAGAAGGGGAAGTCGTGGAAGTAGTGACAGACTTCACGTTCCTGGGATCCCAGATCACCGCAGACTGTGACAGCAGCCATGAAATTAAAAGATGCCTGCTCCTTGGGAGGAAAGCAATGGCGAACCTAAACAGCATGATAAAAAGTAGAGATATCACCCTGCCAACAAAAGTCCGCATGGTCAAAGCAATGGTATTCCCAGTAGTCATGTATGGCTGCGAGAGTTGGACTATAAGGAAGGCTGAGTGCCGAAGAATAGATTCTTTTGAACTATGGTGCTGGAGAAGTCTCTTGAGAGTCCCTTGGACTGCAAGAAGATCAAATCAGTCAATCCTAAAAGAAATCAACCCTGACTGTTCCCTGGAAGGCCAGATAATGAAACTGAAGCTCAAATACTTTGGCCACCAAATGAGAAGGGAGCACTCACTGGAGAAGACCCTGATGCTGGGAAAGATTGAAGGTCAAAGAAGACGGGGACGGCAAAGGATGAGATGGTTAGACAGTGTCATAGATGCAACGAACATGAAACTGAGCATACTTCAGAGGACAGCGGAAGACAGGAAGGCCTGGCGTGATCTGGTCCATGGGGTCGCGAAGAGTCGGACTCGACTGTGCGAATGAACAACAACAAAATTGATATGTTTTTTACAGGTCACAAGCCACTCGGAGAATTAGAGATAAAACTCTACCAACTCCTCATTCAACAACTCTAATCAGCTGTAATGTCAAGAGCACAAAGCCTCTGTATGGTACCGATGTCCAGAACATGAAGATCAAAATCACTGGTTATAGCCCGAGATATGCAGGAAAAACTGTATCTTCATGTGAAAAGAAAAAAAGCAAGTGCGTGGTTTGTTAGTTTACTATAGTTTGTTAGTCTACATGTTACCAATGCAGAAATATTTCTAAGTTTAATTATGTAGGATAAA